TGGTCCAGTTCTCACTTCCATATATCGCTACTGGAGAAACCATAGCTTTGACTATGCGGACCTTTGTTGGTAAGGTGATGTCTCTGCTTTTTAAGATGTTGTTGAGGTTAGTAATTGCTTTCCTCCCAAGAAGCAGGAGTCTTTTAATTTCATGGCTGCTGTCACCAGCTTCAGTGATCATGGACCCCAAGAAAGTAACATTTGTCACTGCCTCCACATCTTCCCCTTCTATTTGCCAGGAGGTGATAGGACTGGTGGCCATGATTTTAGTTTTTTTGATGTTGAGCTTCAGACCAATTTGTGCTCGCCTCTTTCACCCTCATTAAGAGGTTCTTTAATTCCTCCTTACTTTCTGCCATCAGAGTGGTATCATCTATATATCTGAGATTGTTGATATTTCTTCCTGCAATCTTAATTCCAGTTTGGGATTCCTCTAGTCCAGCCTTTCACATAATGTATTCTGCATATGTTAAATAAGCAGGGAGACAATATACAGCCTTGTCGTACTCCTTTCCCAATTTCAAACCAATCAATTGTTCCATATCCAGTTCTAACTGCTGCTTTCTGTCCCACATAGAAATTTGTTCTCTAGTTCCTCTGCCCCTTCGAAATCAAGTTTGTACTTCTGGGAGTTCTCGGTCCACATACTGCTGAAGTATACCTTTTGGATTTTGAGCATAACCTTGCTAGCGTGTGAAATGAGTGCAGTTGTACGGTAGTTGGAGCATTCTTTGGCACTGCCCTTCTTTGGGATTGGAATGTAGACAGATCTTTTCCAATCCTCTGGCCACTGCTGACTTTTCCATGTGGCTTATTGAGTGTAGCATCTTAACAGCGTCATCTTTTATCCGTCCGTCCGTCCGTCCGTCCATTCATTCATTCATTCATTGAATTTATACCCCGCCCCCCTAGACAGCGTCTACTCAGGGTGGCTTACAAAATCATAAAATATCATTAAATAACAATAAAAACATCACAATCAAAATTAAACAACATTCATAATCGTAAAAACATTTGAACAATAATATAGCGTGATCAAGATGGGGAATAAAAACAGAAAGATAAAATTCAAGAATTGACAGGAGGGAAAGCCTACCTGAAGAGCCAAGTTTTTAAATGGCTCTTAAAAACACCCACCAAGATGTTTAAATAGTTCATCTGGAATGCCATCACCTCCACTGGCCTTGTTGTTAGCCAGGCTTTCTAAGGCCCACTTGACTTCACTCTCCAGGATGTCTGGCTCAAGGTCAGCAGCCACACCATCTGGGTTTTCCAGGACATCCAAATCTTTCTGATATACTAATTCCTCTGTATATTCTTGCCACCTCTTCTTGATGTCTTCTGCTTCTGTTAGGTCCCTCCCATTTTTGTCCTTTATCATGTCCATCTTTGCACAAAATGTTCCTTTAATATCTCCAGTTTTCTTGAACAGATCTCTGGTTTTACCCTTTCTGTTATTTTCCTCTATATCTTTGCACTGTTTATTTAAGAAGTCCCTCTTGTCTCTCCTTGCTATTCTTTGGAAGTCTGCATTCAATTTTCTGTAGCTTTCCCTATCTCCCCTGCATTTTGTTTCCCTTCTCTTCTCTGCTATTTGTAGGGCCTTGTTGGACAGCCACTTTGCTTTCTTGCATTTCCTTTTCTTTGGGATGGTTTTTGTTCCTGCCTCCTGTACAATGTTATGAGCCTCTATCCAAAGTTCTTCAGGCACTCTGTCCACCAAATCGAGTTCCTTAAATCTGTCCTTCACTTCTTCAGGCACTCTGTCCACCAAATCGAGTTCCTTAAATCTGTCCTTCACTTCCACTGTGTATTCATTAGGGATTTGTTTTAGATTATACCTGACTAAATTATGCCTGTGTAGAGTCACCTCTTGTATTGTTGGAAAAGAGTGTGATGATCAGGTTGTTCTCTTGACAAAACACTATTAGTCTTTTCCCTGCTTCGTTTTGAACTCCAAGGCCAAAGTTAACTGTTGTTTCTTTTATCTCTTGACTCCCTACTTTAGCATTCCAATCCCCTAGAATGAGAAGAACCTCTTTTTTTGGTGTCAGTTCTAGAAGATGTTGTAAGTCTTCATAAAATTGGTCAATTTCAGACTCTTCAGCATTGGTGGTTGGTGCATAAACCTGGATTACTGTGATGTCGAAAGGTCTGCCTTGGATACAGTAGGATTCACTCTGTGTTACTAATTGTATACAGTACCTCTTAGCTAGAGTTTATGTATACATAATTGCATAATTCAGTGTGGCAGATTGACACTGACTAACAAGATGTTAGTCACATTACAAGGCACATGCCCAGTTGTGCATCAGGTATATGCCTAGGAATACGAGTGGTGCCCCATTAGTTAATTAGAATTTGCCGTGTTTTGTTGCACTGTGTAGGTTATGCATATGTAAAATATCAACAGGATTCTGGCCATTGTTTCTTTCCTTTGTATTTGCATCCTTAGGTCTGAGTTTAAAATGTGAATTGAAAAAAGTATGTGTGATACTCTTTAGTTATTCAGAGTTCAATGGGCATTTCCATTTTGGAGTTCTAAATATTGTGATATTTGCTTTCTTTCATGTTTTCTTTCTAAATTTGTTTTATTTAATGTTTGAATTATGGAAAAATAAAACCCCAGTTTAATTGGATAAAGGCTAACCAAGAATGTACAAGTAATAATCTGTGTAGCCATTATCACATGTAGACTATGTCCTAACTGAAGGTGAGAATGCATTGCCAAGCTACATCAGAGCAAGTCAGCTTTGCATCTGCTTTATTCAGTCTCTTTTATATGACTGCATTTGAGTTAGATGACCCCACAAATTTTCTGGCTTATTTCATTACCGTTGTCCACATTGGCTCCTCAACCAATGTGGTTTGATCTACATCCACAGCCCCCCTTCCTTTGATACTGACTTCCTGACTTCCTGATGATCCCCAGCTCTCCTTTCATGGTCTGCTGTCAGGCTGGTTGGAGTGTTTAAAGGGTTGCATGGTGGTAAGGAAAAAGGGATAGTTTTGCAAAGTTCATACATGTACAAGTATACACGCATACCTTGTAAACACTGTAGGTCTGTTGGAGTTGTTTTGATTTTATATCATTTTTATACATATTCATGGTTGCGGTCAAATCATACATATGGTTTAGTTCTGTGCCTTTGCAAACATCTTCAGAATCCTCTAGAGCCTAAGGCAGTTTCAGGACATTGCATGTCCACCACACATGCACCCCACCTTGAAGGCAGTTCAGCTCCCATTTTGCCACTTCAGGAGTTTTTCTCAGAGTCTGTTATATGTTTCTTCAAAACCATTTGTACATAGTTGACCTTTGATCCCCTGCTTTCTCTTTCTCTCTCCTTTGACCTGAAAAAAAGGGAGAAAAAACTTTATTAGTTTTAGTAGTTGCCTGGCTGTCCCCCCCTTTTTTCCCAATAGGACCATTCAAAACATGTGTTAACTGTACCAGTAAAATCCCCTCACTGAAAGACATTCAAAGTGCTTATCCTGCCTTGGTGAGGGGCATCAAACACAAAACTGTCAGTTCTGCAAAAAGTTCATGAAAGTAGCCATCAGAAACTGTCAATCCCACTTGAGGTTTTATTTGTGGGAAAAGTCCCTGCAGCCTGTTGACTCCATTGCCAGGAGTCCTCCGTTTCTACAGCTTCAGCCATCTTAGGTCCTTTTAAGGAGAAAGCCACTGTTTGGTTCCTTGAAAGGACGTTCTTCTAAAACAGTTGCTCCATCGATGGTATTCCTCAGAGGAGTTTAGTATCTGCAAGGCAGCATCCTGGTCACAGCCCTCAACCTTCACCAGACATTAAAAACTGGATGTCCAGCCTAAGCTTGATGCTACATTTGATAGAGCTGTGATCTCTGTTTTGGTGTGATATCCCACCAGTTGGTAAGTGAGCTTGCCAGTCACCCATATATGTGGTTTCATAGAGACCACGAAGAAAGACAAGTTGCTTACCTATAACTACAGTTCTTTGAGTGTCATTTGTGAATTCACACAAATAATCTGCTCTCCCCTCAGTCTGGCATGCAACCCCTATTGTTTCTATGCCAGCAGTGGACCGGGGGAAACTAAGGACTGCCTTCAGGGTGGGGAAGCATGAATTGTGAAGTAGTGTCCTTTAGGTTCTAGAAGATTCCAAATATGTTTGTGCAGGTTAAGAACTAACCCATATGTGTGAATTCACAGTTGGCCGCTTGAAGAACTAGTTACAAGTAAGCAACTTGTGTACACACACACACACACACACCCCTTTGGAGAGTTGATTGAGTACTAATCTAATATAGCAATGAAATGATAAGGTGATCTAGTTCTAGACTCAATACTTTGTTTTAAAAAAAGAAACAAATATTATTTGGGGGCAGCTAGGGAGAAAGATAGCAGAGGTGAGTGTTCCTGGTGTCCCCAGACAACATATCACAACTGGGAAGGTGGTTGGTTGGACTAATTGATTAAAAGAAGCAGTTCCAGTGGCGAGTAAAGTCCTAGATTTCAGTTAGAGAGATTTGGGTTTGAATCATTGAGTGATACTGGCAGCTTATTTTACTCTCTTTACTAACCTACTTCACAAGACTGTTGAAAAACACAGGATTATCTCCATGAACATCTAATTTTATATCATGGCTATTCTTGCTTGTAGTTCTTTTTTCTTTTCTTTTTTCAAATAGAGATAGTAATCAAGAAGGTTGAGTTACTGAGAGGACACTGTTTCATTTACACTCTGTTGTAGAGTTAGTTACTATAGTCATCTGGTTGGCCATTGTGCAAGAGATTGTTGAGCTAAATAGGTTATTCCTCTTGTTTGCTGGGCTCTTTCCATGTGCTTCTATTTGTTCCTTTTGTCCATTTAGTGACGGAGTATGAAGTCTGAAAGTGATTTTTTTCCTTTCCTTAAAAATATTTGTTTACCAGTCTATCACTCAAATGCTTTGTATGTTTCACATCCAAATTTTTAAGGGTAATATATATTGATTCCTCCTTATTTCTTTTTTTGTAGGAGGGCTAGACAGTTGAAGAGAATATTTGTTTCCGAAAGTGGTAAGTTCTCTCTTCTTCTGATTTCAGTGACTGCTTGGGCAAATAAGTTGCTTAAATTATTCATTTTGTCTAGGTGACATCACAAAGCAAATAGAAAATATCTGTTATATGAAATGTTAATTTCTGAATCCAGTGACAAGCATCCTGTTTGTATAGGCCTTTGTAAATGTGCTAGGCATTACACCTCTTCAACAAGGCTTGCACAGCTTAGTTGCATAATTAGTTTACCAGTTCTTCTTTGTGGCCTCTGTGAATGCACACAATTGGGTTGTTCTGCGCCTGCGCAGGACCTCTCAGAAGTTTCTAGAGCTTAAAGACATGTGATTAGTGGGACGTTCCCCCGTGGAGCGCATTCTCCACCTGCCAGAAGTCCCCTCGGTTCCTTTTAGCCGCCACTTAGACCTATTTCGGAGAGTGCTAGAGTGATCGAGTGTTTCTGTGATCGGTAGTTGCTTTTTCTGTTATTTCAATCACCTTTTTGTTGGATGTTTACCCTCTAAATTGATTTGTTTTACCTTCAATTTGATTCAGTTTTTTTCTCTTTCCTTCGTTTTTCCCCGATTTCCCCCTTTTCTCCCCGATCTTCCCTCCAATTTTCCCTTGTCTTTTATGGTCCCCCCCCCACGGCCTTTCAAGCGGTGTGTACTTTGTAATAACAAGATCCCACACACTGACGGCCATGACAGTTGTCTTTTCTGTCTCGGGGAAAAGCACCAAACACACTCTTGTCCCAAGTGTAAAAGGCTTATGAAGCCTGCTCTTTAGCTGCGACTTCAGAGGCTGCGATTATACCTGTGGGAGAAATCCCTCAACCCACCTTCGGTCGGCATGGACTCTGCGCTATCCCCAGATCTCGACCTGATCACCAAGAGCCTCCTAGACTGGCTCAAGATGCGTGGAAAACCATTATAAAACACATGGTCCGGACGCTGCCTTTTTATCCAAACATCCAACACCAAATTCAATTATTGTAGAATCCAATCAATCGAGACCTCACAACAAATCATCAGTTGCACCTACCAACCGTGAGAGAAGAAGGTTAGATATTCTTGGTAGACGTCTTTACTGCCTCACTTCATTTGTTATGCGAGTCACCAACTATCAAGCCACCATGGGAGCTTACCATAGGTAACTATGGAATAAGAGCCTCCCTGTTAGTCAAGTGGCTCCTGAGTCTTCTAAGACTAAAGCCCTAAATATTCACGCTGAGGCTTCTACTCTGGCCAAACAGCAAAGAATTGCTACCCGCCACACTGCTGATTCCGCATCAAAGGCAATAGCTACTTCTATTGCACTTAGATACCATGCCTGGCTTAGGTCGGCTGGCATATCTGATGACACCAGATCGAGAATTGAAGACCTTCCATTTGATGGTGCTGGCCTTTTCAACGAAAAAACAGAGAAAGTAATGGACAACATACATAAAATTTGGAAAACAGTTCAGTCATATTCCACCCAGCAAACATTTTGTTACCAGTGACCCCAGCACCGCAGCCAGTCCTTTGTCCAACAGCCATTTCAACCATTCCACCAACCATACCATACATACAAGCCACAAATACAGAATAGACCTTATTCTGGCCCGTCAACATCTACCGCACCATTGTTTCAACCCCAGCAACAGCAACCACGTCGACAACCCTTTCAACGGCAACAGAAGAAGGGTAAGCAGTATCAATAAACCCCTTCCATCTTCCACCACTATTTCCACTCCCTTTCACACCAGGTTATACCCTTTCCTCAGTGCATGGCGTCAAATCACCAAGGACCAATGGGTCCTTTCGATTATCAAAAAGGGCCATTTCATTGAATTTAAGCATGCTCCACCTTTCACTGTCATTAAAACTACTCCCCACTCATTTGCCCTTCAAGAAGAAATTTCCCTTTTTCTTCAAAAACAAGCCATACTCCTCATCCCTTCCTCTGCCGTGCATGATGGTTTCTACTCTTGATACTTCACTGTACTGAAAAAAGACGGAGGACTCGGTCCCATCCTCGACCTCAGAAACCTCAATAAATTCATTTGACCTAGATGTTTCAGAATGCTGACACTCAACACTATCATTCCTCTCCTTTCACAGAGAGACTGATTTGTCATCACCGATCTCTAAGACATATATTTTCACATTTCTATCCATCTGAGTCACCACAAATTTCTTTGATTCTGATTCGACGGCATCTCGTGCCAGTTTTTTTCTCTTCCGTTTGGACTCTCCATGGCACCAAGGACTTTCACCAAGTGTATGGCACCAGTTGCTGCCTACCTCCGCTTCAGGGAATCACTATATTCCCTTATATAGACGACTGGCTGATAGTCCCTGCTTCTTACCACAATGCTGTCAGAGCTACGCAAATTACTCTCGACACTCTTCAAGACCTCGGTCTCAAGGTGAACCATGTCAAATCCCATCTCGAACCATCACAGACAGACAGCTGTATAGGGGCATACTTTGATTCCCTACAAGCCAGAACCTTTCTCCCTTACAAGAGAATAATCAAATTCAAACAAGCTATACAACCATTCCGACCTCATGCTTTAATAATAGCTCATCAAGCCCAGCACCTCCTCGGGCTCATGGCTTCCACTACCGCCTTTATCTAGCATGCCAGGTTAAAGATGAGATCTCTTAAGTCATGGTACCTGTCCCTATTCGATCCCATGACACATCACCCATCAGAGTCCCAAGCGAACTAGCCCAACAACTTACATGGTGGACATTTCTACCACATCTTCTTGTCAAAAGACCCTTCTCCCCTCTCCAGCTCGTGATACAGGTTACTACGGATGCCAGCCCGTTGCGATGGTGTGCCCACTGTCTGCATCACAGGATACATGGACTCTGGACAAAACAAGAGCAGTCATTACACATCAACCACCTAGAGTTCTTAGCTATTATCAAAGCTTTCCATGCCTTCCTACCTATCATTGCAGGACGCACAGTCCAACTTGCTACGGACAATACGACAGCTCTTTATTATGTCAACAAGCAAGGCGGTACTGTACCTAGCTGTCGAGCTCTGGGAATGGTGCTACCTTCACCATATCTTCCCAGTAGCAGTCCATATTGCTACGGATGACAAATCTGCTTGCAGACCATCTCGGTCGCCTTATCATGAGGACGCACGAGTGGTCTCTAGACGACAAAGTTTTCGCCCTTCTTTGCCATTGATGGGGGACTCCTTCTATCAATGTTTTTGTTACCAAGAACAATACCAAGTGCCAACTATATTGTTCCCGTGCCAGTATTGGCAGAGGTTTCTCGGAGAAGCCTTCATGATAAGATGGGACAGCGGACTCCTCTACCTATTCCTGCCAGTCCCAGTGATACAGTGCACCATCATTTGACTTTGACAATTTCAGTCGCATGCGATCCTTCTCGCCTCATGGTGGCCACGACAACTGTGATTCACCCACTTGAGGTCGAGGTCGACTGACCTCCTCCATCTTCCGTCCATCTCCAACCTCCTCACATGGGAGAGCGGGCTCGTTTACCATCTTACCTTAAATCTCTGAAACTGATGTCGTGGAGGATACTCCCAAAATAAGGGATATACTTGACAGAGCTTGGAAACCATAGACACAGATCTTTTACCGAAATAAATGGAAAGGATGTCTCTCCTTCATCAACTCTAAGAACTTACCTTCGGTACCAGTTTCATTAAGGACTTTACTTACCTTTATACTCCATCTTTTTCATCTTGGATTGTCCCATTCTACCTTGAAGGTTTATATTACTGCGATTGCAGCACACCAACCTTCTCATTCGGATGCAGCTAGACTTTTTTCCCATCCGACTTTGAAAAAATTCCTTAAATGACTTTGTAATATCCGCCGTCCATGCCAACCTCCTCTTCCCCAATGGTCATTGCAACTTGTCCTCAATGCACTGACCAGACCTCCCTTTGAACCAATGGCTACTACTAACCTAAAATTGCTTTCCTTGAGGACATCATTCTTAGTAGCTAAACGTGCTAGCGAACTTGCGGCTCTTAGATCAGACCCACCTTTCCTGCAGTTCCATCTGGACAAGGTCCCTCTATATGCAGATGTTTCATTTTTACCTAACGTTGTATCTGACTTTCATCTCAATCAACTGATAATGCTGCCTACCCCGTTTTCATCTCCTTCTACACCTCTCAAGTGCATGCTCCACATGCTTGATGTCAGATGTTCCTTGGCTTTCTACATTGGCAGAAACAAATTATTCAGGAAAGCATCAAGGCTCTTTCTATGTTTTCATGGCCCTAATAAAGGCTTACCAACCTTGTCCCAAACACTGCCTAGATGAATTGTTCAGACAATTTCATTGGCAAATAAGTTGGCAGGCAAGACACCACCTGAACCCTTGAAGGCTCATTCGACTAGATCACTGTCTACCTCCATTCCCTTCCAGTGAGGAATAGAAATTCCTCACATCTGCCGTGCAGCTACATTGTCCAGTCCATCAACGTTTGTGACACATTACCATGTGGATTTCCGGGCAAAGAATGATGCTGCTTTCGGCAGAGCTGTCTTGGCTTTCTTTCTACCGTGACGTCCCACCATCCGGTAAGTGAGCTTGCCATTCACCCAATTGTATGCATTCACAGAGGCCATGAAGAAGAAAGAGAGGTTACTTACCTGTAACCATGGTTCTTCTAGTGGTCCTCTGTGAATCCACACATCCCGCCCTGCCTCCCCTCTGTCCGTCCCGTTGTCTTCTTATATAGCTCTTTGACAGCGGTGGACTCTTTTGGGAACTGAGGGGACTTCTGGTGGGTGGAGCATGTATTCCACGGAGGAACGTCACACTAATCACATGTCTTTAAGCTCTAGAAACGTCCGGGAGGTCCTGTGCAGGCGCAGAACAACCCAATTGTGTTGATTTACAGAGGACCACTAGAAGAACCATGGTTACAGGTAGATAACCTCTTTTTCATTGCAACCAATTGCATAATATGCCTGCAGAAATGCTTTGTGAATAGCACTTCTGCCTTGGCATAATTATGATGCACCTAATGTTGAGTCATGCACGACTCAGTAGGATTTGAACCAGTAATTTTTTTTTATAAAGATGGTAGAGAACCTGTAAACATGCTGCCAAATTAACGTCAAAATTGATAGTTAGTATATTTTTAATTCTAAGCTTTTATTTGTAGGGTTTTTTAAACATATATTGCTATTAAAGTCATTGTCAAAGTACAGTCTGAAGTATGTTGTGAAAATTATTTGTCAGAAATGATATATCTGGTTCAATGTTATTGTTTTTGCAGAAAGTACACTAATATAGGCTTAATTTGCCTAGTTACTACTGACAAATATATTCATATCCATTCCTCTCTCTGTATATGTGTATGTAATAGGTAGATAGCTGCAGATATACTAAATGGCAATTTCTCAATTCAGTAGTTAATAGAGTACTTATAAACAAATAAGTTCATAGTTCTAACTATATTTCTGATGATGTATGTTGCACTAAAGGAGTTAGGACTTGCTTCCAGATGAACATGTCATTCTGAGTCCTAAGCCTTATTTAATTGTTATTCTGCAAAAGATCCACGGTGGTGGGCATATGCTTCAAAGTACTACAAAGTGTTGAGATAAAAGAAGGGGGCATAGTCTTGTGACACTTAGTCTTGCAAGGATATGTTGTTTTGAACTGGGTTTTCATATTTTCCTTTCTCTCGTGATCACAATAAGATTATTTTACAGCAGTTGTGTAAAGAAAAGAAGATTTAATCACAAGTATCTGAAGGTGGTGGGAATTTAGTAACCTGGACAATTCAAGAAAGTGGAGAAGGTAGAGAATGGAGTTACAGACTCTACAGGAGGCTCTGAAAGTGGAAATTCAGGTTCACCAGGTAAATTGCATTCTCTGTCTTATGTACCTCACTTGAAAAGCTTAAATGAAAGTTGGTGTGAGACTTTAGAGTACTGAGAAATAATTGTTTCTTGAGAAGTTCTGGCAGCTTATAAAATCTTCACTGCTGTGAAAAAATATTCATCTGTTTTTATTTATTGAATTCACAGCCTACCATACCACATGGGCTTAGTGGGTTTCAGATGTTTTCCATAGGCATATGTACTTCTATCCTTGAGGGCTTACATTTGAAATAATTTAAATAATTAAAGGCTATACTAAAGGTGGATTCAATTTAAAAATTGCTATTGGAAAGATGAACATTTATCGTGCATTTATATCCATTGTTCTAATATTCTCCAGTCTTTTTGTCACATTTTTGGTTTAGGTAGCCAAACTCTCAATCTTTCCCTGAATTTTCTGAAACAAAACAAAGAGACAGTGGGAAAAATCCTGTTCTGTAACTTTGTGGAAGTGTAACCTGGATTGAGGCCCAGAAGCTTTTAATTTAAAATAATTCAAAGCTTCCTACTTTTTGGCTCCCTAGGGCTCCTTTTTGGCCATGGAAAATCCTTTGGGAGCCTTGGTGATCTGGTGGTGATTTTTCACGATGAAACAACCCACCCCAGTCCCAGGATCTCAAAGGCTTTCCCAGGGCAAAAGGGAGCCAAAGTCTTGCAATCTAAAAGGAAGGTGACAGGAAGCATTTAATTACTTTATATTAAGCACATTCTGTGCCCAGTCCAGGTTATGTTGTGCAAAGTTACACCAACAGGATTTTGGCCAATTTATACATTTCAAACAGGGCTTTGAGTAATGGCAACAGGTCTTGCCACCTCTCCCTGCCCTTTACCTCATAAATTGTGAACACAATATCTGAGCTGAATCCACCCTTATTTTACAGTTTGCACTGCATTAAAAAGAAACAGCATCATAAAAATGTGAGCTACAGAATCTATCAAAATGATCCACAAAGATAGTTTACATTCTAACTTTGAAAATTGCGCAAGCATGAGTACAAGCATACGTGTGCACACACAGACACATGAAAATTTGTGTATTTAATTAGGGCCTTATTGATCTTACAGATTCAGGTCACATTATATGCTAATTTAACAAGCATTTCTTTTGAAGATTTAAACACTTAAAACAGTTCTTTTGACTTTATACAGAGACCTTATCTTACTGCCACATTGGCTTTTATTACTGAGACCTGACTGATGAGCAGTGAGGAGTTGGTCTGTCTCAACTGAATGCAATTGTCTGATTGGTTAGACAGCATTGCTTTAGGGATTTCAGCTCCCTTTTCATGATCCCTGTACTTCATGATTTCCTCTTCATAGTTCTCGGTACTTCTTTAAAAGGCTTTTTATTTGATTGCATATTATTTTTTCTTCTCTGCACAGATAGGACAGATCAGGGATTCTGTTTATGTATTGAACACCCCTCTGCCAAACAATATCCCTGCTTGAACTAGGGAGAGTGTTCTTGGATTGTGAACTCTTGGTACCTAGTACAGGGTGACTCAGGAGTTTGTGGCCATGATGACTGTGGCTCAGTGTAATATGCACAACTTATGCTGTGAGTCAGAATCTTGACAAGAACATGGTGACCTATTAGTTGGTTTTTGTTATTTTTTGAAGATTCTGTATCAGAATCAGGTGACTGTGTGGTGAAGTTTTGTCTTTCAGAAACTGCTTTCTCCTTCAGGTGCAATTGACAGATCAAAATGGCTTTCACCAGGATGCTGATAGATTCATATAAATTTATATGCTTTTTCAGTGACATTGTAGCTTGCATAGCTTGTGTTTCTGCTGAAACTCTAGTCATGTTGTGGGATGCAAAAATTATTGAGATAGCTGCCCTGATGCTTTGAAGGTAGCAACAGTTTTCCTCAGAAAGCTAGTGACTTGTGGAGTGATTTATGAGCTACTGATCTTTGCAGGCAAGGTGCTGAAATGTGTGGCTGTGGACTCTGTTCTTCAGTGCAGCCAGTTAAACTGCTTTCCTTCCTAGTTTTGGAAGTGAAATTGCTTTGGCTGTCTTGATAGATGAATTGCAGTTGGAGAAGAACAAATGGGATGTGACCCTATAAATTGTCTTAGAGTTAAAACTAGAGATATGCAGACATGTGTTTTCAAATTTCAACTCCCTGAATTCCCCAGGCATCATTCTGTGAGTTGTAGCCCAAAACCCCCCACAAATCTGAACATCTCTACTTGGAATTATTGGTGCCATTACTTCTACTATCCTTCTGGATTAGCTTTCTAGGATGTAGGCACACTGTTCTTCAGTAAGTCCATTCATTTCTGGATAGCTATTTCCACAAGGTGGTGCTAGGACACAATTTCTTTGTCCTTTGACACTGTGGTGTTCTTCGGGGCCATGTTCTGTTTCCTGTGTTTTGTAAGATCTAGATGAATTCCCAAAATGAAGTTTGAGATTTGGAGTCAGATGTACGCAATATGTCAAATGACATCCATCTCTGTTTCATGTGATTTGAGTGGGACAGTTGATGTGCTTGAATCAGTGCTTGATGTCGGATCAGGGCCAGTAAACTCAAAAGGTCCAGACAAGACAAAGAGGCTCATGGCAAGTGTTTCATCAGTGCTCTGTACCAGCTGAGGCTTACATACTAGTTGTGACAAGGGATAGAGCATTCTGTCCAGTTTGTACTTTCTGAAGAACATGTTTATTCCATCTTGCTGCTGCATCAGTTTGTGAATTTGTGAATTTTTAAAGGAAAAAAGCCTGCACAAAAATTTCAGTTTACCTTTTAAGATCATTAATATGTTAGGAGATATGAACTGAAAAATGCATATATTAGGGTGAACTGAAGATGCATATTTTAGGAGAAATGTGCAGACGACTGCATATATTCTTGTGTACATTCCTTATAGTGTATGCTTTTTTGTGTACAGTAATTTCACCTAACTAGTGTTTGTCTGTGTGTATTTTTATTGGATAACAGCATAGCAGAATTCAAGGAAGTACAAGAGCTTGAGAATGATTGCATTTTGGTTTGTGTGTTGAATTGGGAATTGGGAATTAAGTCAGGTCAAATTAAAATGCAAACCAAGTTTCTTTCCAGGGGTTGGATTAAATATAGGGACAGATAAAATGGCCATGGTGGTAATTTTCAGGGTCACATATGGCTTCAGCAACTTTTACCCAAATGATCTGTAAAAGTAATGAGTAATGAGTTATACCAAAATAAAATAAAGGGGTGGTGCTACTAATATAATGTAAAAACTGATGTCTGTTGCTATGTGTTGTAGCAATGGAAGTCTTTGATGAGCAAGTGTTGTGAGTGCTGAAACAGGAAAAATACAGCTTTATCTGCTATACCATTTTTGCTATCCAGTATATGATCACTGTTAAACCCATCACTTTGCTTGACATTCCATGTTTTGATTGTATTTGATATGCTACTGTCTGTCTATTGAGGCTACACTCCAAATATCTGAAAAAATGAGCTGCTGACCAGAAAAACTTATGCCAGACAAAGCTTTGTAGGCTTTAAAATGCCTGAAACCTCTATGTTAATTTTGTTGTAGTACAGTACAGACTAACATACTTACAACTCTGAAAATCTCTGTAGTATGCTTGGCAGCAAGTTTGATTATCTTCACTTTGGTATCGTGTATTTAAAGTGGTTTATTGCTCTGGAATTTCTTGAGTTTTCATAAAAGTAGCTCAAGTGACATCAAGTCATAAATGATCCTTAACATAAGTTTCTGGGTCATTTTAAAGGGTAGCATAGTGCTTACCATGCCAGCAGTAAAAGAAGATTTCTAGTTCCTCCTGCAACCCTGAAGATGCAATAAGACTGTGGACTTCTTATATTTTAAAGTGATATTCTTGTGACTTTCAGCAGTTATCTCCAAACTATAGGTGGCAGCAAGGGTTTGCTTGTTGCACTGCATTTGTGCCTTCAGAATTGATACTTGGAAATATGAAAATCTTCACTTGGTAAATGAAGTATAATAAATGGAGTAGCGCTCAGTTTCTAACCATATTATATGCCAGTAGGTCCAGTTTCAGTGGAACTTCAATGCAATTTGTATAGGAACTTAGCATGCAGTATTGCCACTGAACTTGTAATAGCAGCTTCTGTATATACAAGTAGGAGGGGGACTCTTTCCCTTCTTTAAGTGTACTTGGATTTTTGTTCTCATTCTTAGACATATATGACTATCAATTTAAGATAATGACACTTTGGAAAAAGGAAAGCTATAAATTTTAAGATTCTAACATGGGCCAATATGTTACATAAACATGTAATTTGAATTTACACTGTTAATTTTTTAATTGAAAGTTCAAAATTGTGACTTGATGGCATAGAACAACAACACTTTTGTTATCTTAATGGTTATGTGCTATCAGGTTGATTCATATTTGTGGTGATCCTCCCGAAGTACTCAGAAGTGATCTACCAGTCCTTCCTCCTAGTACTGCATTGGGACTGTGCAGCTTTCTCAGGCCACATACTGTAGGTGGTAGGATAATTCATCATCTTAGCCACACATGCTCCAGGTGATCTCTGCTGGCCCATCTCTTGGGAAGTACAATGAGGATTTTAATTCTCAACCCCTGATTCTGCAAGTAGGCACTCCAACCCATTGAACTATACCACCTTATGTTAGATATGAATATTTCTACTGTCCTTCAAAATGTTACCAGTTACCTTCTAAAGCTGTATTTGTCCATGAGAAAAATCAGCATCTGCATTTGGGTACCATTATGAGTACCAACTTGATTGTAAGTTGAGTGCAAAGACGTGCAAACTTTCAGATTCTTCAAAAGTATTCTCAAATACATGAAAAACAAATTTTGATAAGACTTCCCTGACCTGAAGTGGGTCAGTGCTAAACCTATGTAGGAACATAAAAGCCAAAGTCAATTAAGTTCAGACCACCTCTCATTTGAGTATGATTATGCTTCGGTTCTCGGCATTGAAGTGTGTCCCTTTAAGTCAGAAAATCAGTGTAAAACTATAGCTAATGCAATCATGCATCCAGAAGCTGTTGTGTATGAATAATAAAAATGAGATCAAAAACATTATGGAATCTTAAAGTGTTACAGATCTGTTTCATTGTGAACCAGGGATGGGGACTTGTGACTTGCAACCTGGTACCATTTTTCCAAGTCGTTTATCAAGCCCCCACCCCCACCCCTGGTATCTGTCTGCTCCTGCTGCCACTGCCACATGCCACTGTCCCCAGAAGCAAGCAGCAGACTTTGTTTCCCTTCCAGGAGCCAGGCCCGCCACTTCTGGGCATGCTCAGAAGCAGCAGGCATGACTCCTGTGCAGGAAGCCAAGCCTACTGCTTCTGAGGACAGTGATGTATGGCAGGAGCAGGTAGGCACGGTGGAGCTGTGGGGGATTGGGTGGTGGTGGCAGGAGCAGATAGGCAACAGGAGGTGACAGTGGCAGCAGTAGGGGGGCAGCGGCATGGCAGTGACAGGAGCAGGTAGGCAGTGGGGGAGCCAGGAGACATGCCCACCACTTCTGAGCATATGCTCTGGGAAGGGAAGCCAGGCCTGCTGCCTCTGCGTATGTGCCTGCATATGTCCCCTCCCAGCCTCCATCTAAGACTTGTGACTCAGACTCAAGGCCTGGGACTTGACTCAAGTCTTGGTATCAAAGACCCTGTGTTCGATGAGGTGAGCTGTAATCCACAAAAGCTCTTGCTGTTGACAGTCTTTAAAGTTCCACAAAGCATTTGGTTTTGTTTTCATTACACATGCTGAAACAGGTCATCATAGCCGCTTGTTTTTAAATGGTTGTGTATAAGTGGGGAGATTAATTGAGAAAGTACTTGTTAGAAACCATGGGAAAGTTCACTGAATACTGATATAAATAATGTGCAAACTTACTTATTACTGCAGTTATTTACTACCTTTGATAGGCTGGTTAACAGTATACTATTTTCACAATAAACATACAGTATGTTGTACTGTCTATAGTAATGACCTAAAGGTTTTTCTGATGTGTAGTGACAGCCATTATTTCCTGTAATTTCTCAAATCTATGTATCTAAATTCCTAAATGGGCATTTGAAAAGTATTTAAATACATCTCCTTCCATGACAAGATTCCAGAGGGATACTTTCAAAGGGAGAAATAATTCTGAACATGGGTCAAGGCATTGTTCATATTGCTAGTTGAAGAATGCACAGAATAGGTGAGTGGAAAGGGTCACAGTGTTGGTTTTAATGGTGGTAACTGGTTCAGATAACAAAGTTCCTTTTTTACTTCAGCACTCTGGCTAGAAGTGTCCAGCTAAGTCTGACTAATGGTTAGATCAGCCATGCAGTACTAGATGTGTTGTAATGCCAGTTACAGCAGTAATAAGACCCTGCCTGTGCCCTTGCCGTATTATTAAAGAAAAGTGATACAAGTAGGATAAGGCGGAACAGTTGTTAAATAAGGAGCAAAATTGTGATCTATTCTTTATAAATAAGCCAGTAAAATAAAATAAAGGTAACAGTGTTAATGCAGATAACAGTTTTAAGCAATTCTGACACAGGCCAAATTAAAGTAAAGTTTTGTTCTTTCAAATGCATTTTGGGTAATGGAAAAGGGATGAACATTTTGGATTTCATTGGTCACTTGGGAGAAGCAAAGTATATTGTTCATTCTTTACATTAGAACTAAAAGAATAATGTGTTATCCAAGGATTGTCTTGGATAAATCTTTCAGAGAAGTAGCAAAAAATGTGGATTTTTTTGTAAGTACTGTATTATTGTCACGTTTTATCTACAAAAACTACACATACTGTGTCATACAGGCAGTTCCAAGTTTTTCAGTTATGTAATTTTGTATCTAAAGTAATTCTCTCTATATTGATTCTTGTAGTTGCTAAAGCATGCTAGTTTGTGACATTTATTGGATTAGTTTACTCAAATAGTGTGTTAATCTTTGCTAGCATATCAAGCAAAACCAAAATAAAAATAAGGAAGACAAAAACATTGCAGCACCTTAAAAACTAACTGCTTTGTCTTAATGTGACCTTTCGTGGATAAGTCCACTTTCTCAGATATAAAGTGGGATTACATGGCAGATATTTATACAGTTATACATGGCCACGAAACAAAGTGATTGATTGTTTCCTTGGCAAAATTTATTGATAGTGCAATGTTTCACATCTGGCAATGACCTTTAGGATCCCAAATGGCTTAAGCTCTTTTTTAATAGACATTATTCCCCAGAAATATTTTGGCAGCTTCCAGTTCCAACTGCAGTGGTACCAGATTTTAAAATGAGCATAATAAAAGCACTGATAGGCAATGTAACTATAGGTATGTGAATGCATAAAATGTTTGAGATTATTTCTGGGCATGATGACCCTGATTAAATCCAGCTGCACCCAAGGACTATTGTGTGAAGTACTCTTATAATACCTCCAGTATATTGCTCAAAATATTAATGACTATCCTTTCCTTTTAGAAACTGGTTGCCCAAATGAAGCAGGATCCACAGGTAATATATATATATATATGTATACATATATTTCACATTCTTCATGCTATACTTAAAAGCTGGGGAAGAGGAATTCCCCATTTGTTGCATTTAGTGGAGCATTTTCCACAGTGAAGTAGAAAAGAGCATATTATATATTGAATATATGGCTGGAACGATAGAGCTGGTTTCCTGTTGTGTTCATGAGATTATCCTTGCAAATCATAGCATAAAGAAGGCACTTCCTTTTCTTTTAAAAGTAGGTGTTGTTTGTAATGATGCGTTTCAGCTGTGGTGATTCTCAGAATGTTACACTACAATAGAATCATGTTTATAGGCAGATATTACTCTAACCATGATAAATTTGAAATACTGGCTGCTGTCATTGGTAACACTTAGTTTTCTCCACCTGTTTGTAGTTCAAATGTGCTAGAGTGGGAAACAGACACTATAAAGAACTAATGGAATGCGCAATCCAGCATTTCCTATTTCGTATGGTGTTTGCAGACTCTATTGTTTGATGCTGTGACCTTGTTTAGATCTAAACAGTTAAATGTGTAGTTGATTTTGATTTGGAGTCTTTTAGCCTGTCTGTTGTATTATAGATGTTTATCCATGACACATTTTAAGTACAGTGGTACCTCACTAGACAGTTACCCCACAGGACAGTTTTTTTTTCTAGACATTGACTTTTTGCGATCGCTATAGCGATTCGCAAAACAGTGATTCCTATGGGGGAATTTTGCTGGACAATGTTTGGTCCCTGCTTTGCAAACCGATTTTCGCTAGACAACGATATTGACAGCTCCCTGCGCACTCGCAAACAGGTGTTTTCAGGACCTAAGCTTCGCAAGACAGCGATTTAAACAGCTGATCGGCGGTTCGCGAAGTGGCTTTCCTATGGCCGATCTTTGCTAGACAATGACAATTCTTCCCCACTGGAACCCATTAAACAAGTTTCAATGCATTCCAATGGGGAAATGCTTTTCGCTAGACAATGATTTCTCTAAACAGGGATTTCAGTGGAACGGATTATTATCGTCTAGCGAGGCACCGCTGTATGTGAACTAGATATACTTAACGTTTTGTCATATAACTGGTGCATCCTGGGGATCTGAGGAAACTGGTCAAGTGTAAAGTACCTTTGGAGGTGGGGTGGTTTATGTTAAATAGATCTCTTCAGTTTGTTTCATATTTTAAAAGTGCAGCACATCCTATGAAAGAAAATGCTTCATCAAGTATGCTCTAAAGCACACTGGAATGTCTTACTAATTCTGCTTTTCAAAGGATAACACTTCATATTATGTCTTTTCTGCCAGCTGTATCTCAGCATTGAAAATAGATACTTAATGGTTGTAGCACCAGGGATTCAAATATGTTTCGTCTTTGAGCTGTTTAAATGATATGATTTAGAGATGCTAGAGATGCTTTGTTATTTACTGTCCAAAGTTCTGTAAATTGTGCTCATTGCTGGGACACAATTATTCAAAGCCTCACTGGTGAATTGCTGTAAATTAAGATGTTAGCATAGGCATTTGTGTAAATCAGTGTGCAACAGCAGATTCCTACCTTAACATCATAACTTGCGGCAGTTTCCTGACAAAATCTATGTCAATTTCATTATGCCAGCATAAGAACTCAGTAGGATTTTGGCTATTGTATGCCATAGGATTTTTTTAATGGTCTAACAACTATTTTGTATTAACAAGTGAAATAGATTTTTGACATTATGCATATTTTTTCCTAATTAGAATGCTGATTTGAAGAAGCAGCTTCATGAACTCCAAGCCAAAATCACAGCTTTGAGTGAGAAACAGGTAGGATGTTGCTTTAGTTTTAATAAATGTTCTAAAGATATATCTCCACCATGCTACTAAGAGAACTGCTAAATTCTTTCCATGTGTGAAAATAAGTGTGGGCAGCCAACACCCTGGATCTGGTTTGATGTGTTTAGCGAGACAAAAATAAGTGTTGGATGCGCTAGTCATGGACAAAGTGCAGTTAATCTAGTGCTATTCAGTGTTGAAATTGGAACCACCATGTAACAATGTAAGTCATATTAACTGTATAAACATTACAGCAAGAGTTTGAAGAGATTGGGCATATGGAGGGGTTTGTATTTTAGAAGATCAAAGATTTTATACTGGACAGGTGGAAATAAGCTATTCAATTTGTTTACTGAATTTACAAATCCCTGTGGTTTTTTTAAACATTTAAAAAGTTGATTGGTTACTGGTTAGTGACCATCTTCTTATTCTTTGTGTATGTGTTTGTAAATGTTATGTTGTCATTCGTAAGTGCTCCAGTCAACAATTCCTCGAATTTTCCACCAGTACTGGTAACTAACCCCCCCAACAGGGTTCTGGCTGTGACCAGAACCAAACGGACAGCAACACTGGCTGCAGGTGTGTGGCACTGAAGCAGTGCTGCACACCCATACAGCTTAGAGAAAATTTTAGCTCCAGTTGTGTTTTTTTTGTGGAGCCTTTTGGTCTTATACTTATTTGTACTAATAGCAATTATTCCTATGTGCTTTGCCAGTGGCTTACCAAGTTTGTGGAGTCTAAAGTGAGATCTCTAATAATGTGGAAATCAGTGATTGTTTCTTTTGAGGCATACCAAGTTACACAACTGCTGTATGACAAGAAAAAGAAAGCATTGACTTCTCAACTGGCAGCAATTAGCTGCTGAGCCTTCTGCTGTTGGAATTATTTCATCTGCTGTAAGTAACAGGTTTTCTGGCCAGTGATTTAAAAGCTGAAATCCTGTTGCACAGCTTCATTTGTGCAATAAGAATAATAGCAGCAGCAGCAGCAGATAATTGCTGGTGTTTAGAGGCTTTGTTTGGCAATTTCAGGGGGGACATATGACTTTGCAGTGATTTGCCAATGATCATGATGTCATTCCTATTGCACACATGGAGATGCACAACAGGATATCAGTCAAAGAATAAATTTAATCTGTACATCTATCTATTGGATATGGCTAACTAAAGCTCAGAGTTTTGAGGGTAAAGCTGAAGAACTACCTTACATAGACATAAAAAGGATGAACCTTTAGAATTAACAAATTAGTGGCTTGACATTAACTTTGATAAAAGTCCCTGAAGAGCTCACCAAAATGTGGCACTTAATAAAGGGTTAGAAAGTAGCCAGTATGATTTCTTTTGAAATGGATTTGGTGGTGATACAGAAATCCGTACATTTGGCTTTTGTCCCACATAAAGGGGGTACTAGTGCAGTTAAATGTGTGAATTTATAATCCTTATTGAATAATAATTGGCATGGCTTTTGCAGAACAAAATTTCTGTTTAGAATTTATGATCAACTGCAATGGATGTCTTTAAACTGTGATAAAATCATTAAGAGATTTTCTGTCTCTTAATGATCCTATTGCTTATACAAACCAGCACATGCAATTTTTAAGAGAAGTAGGTAACATTTATAATATTTTGGCCTATGTGTTCACATTTTGAATGGTTATAGTCATAAACACTTGAAGTTTTTTTAAATCATGACTTATATTGCACAAGTGCAGTTCAGATGTAGTGCAAACATATGCTAGTGATTGGAAACTGCCCTGCAGACTCACATTTTCTTCTGTCTTTCTATGTGGAATCCTTTTCCTGATTTTCATGAGTTTGCTATGATGTCTAAATTAGCAAGCTGTGGTATGCCTTGCATACAACCCATTGTTTAAATGGGCTTCAAAAATGTTTTGGATGCAAGGTTCAGTTCGGTTATAGTTTAGAATACAGTGGAGTCTTGACTTACGAACAGCTCCACTTAAGAACTTTTCGACCTATGGACTTCTCCAGCCTCAAAATTTCCCTTCGACTTGTGGCCGTAGAATCAGTCTACGGACCAGAAGGGGGAGGTGGAGAAAACGCACAATTCAAATTTGGTGCTTTCCCGGCCTTCCCCTTCCGGTCCGTAGGCCGTAGGTCGTGCCTCCGGATGCCTTGAAGGGCTTTTCCGCCGCCATGAGAGGCATCTCGGAGGTCCACCCCCACCGCCGATAGTGCTTCGGAGCCACTATCGGTGGCAGGGGAGACCTCCAAGATGCCTCCCATGGCGGCGGAGAAGCCATGCAACGCATCCGGAGGTCCCCTGCTGCCGCCACCGCTGCTGGAAGCCGAGTGCGCCGGGCAACCCAAGCCATGCTCAGACTCCTGGAACTCCTCCCTACCTTCTTACCTTCGGAGATTTCCGCCGGACATCGGAGGAAGCCATTTGAGAACTTGGAAGGCATGGAGAAAGGGCGGGAAATTCGAATTTCCAGCCTTTTTCTCCCTGCCTGTTTGCCTTCCAAGCTCTCAAAAGGCTTTCCCTCCGACATTGGAGGAAGCCCTTTGAGAGCTTTGAAGGCTCCCAGCGGCGGCGGCAGCAGGGTGGGGTGAGGGTCTCCGGATGCCTTCCATTGCCTCTCTGCCTGGAAGACATCCGGAGGTTCCCCACCGCCTCTGCGGGGAGCCGCACCGGGCAACCCAAGCCATGCTCGGACTCCTGGGAGTCCAAGCATGGGTGGGGTTGCGCGGCGCGGCTACTGGTGGCGGCAGGGTGGGGTAGATGATATAAATGAATAGTAGTCTTTTGTGAGTTTATCTCCCCATGCCTTCCCACCTCTGGTTACCTAAAGGTGTCTGCTTTGAGACTAAGAGCATAAAATATTTGTCACGGTTTGGAGCTCCATGTTCCTTCTACCCTACTCCATGTCCTTGGAAATAGAGTAAAGAACTGCTTCTTCAGCATGGTCTCTGTGAATCACACATTTGAGTTAAATCAGCACCTGCACTGGAACTTCGGAACCTTCTAGAGCTTTTCTGAAAAACATACAAAGTTTAGGTTCCCCTAGCATGCATGCTCCATTCCCTCCCTGCCTCCAGTTCCTTTTTTTCTGCCATTGTGCTAGGAATGTTTCGGACAGAGCTCTCTATTTTGATCGATTTGGCTTGATTTTGGACTGTATTTTTGACTATTCTTGCTTCTATTGCCTCTTAATCTTGGACTGCTTCGACTATTCTCTTGCCTGACGGACTTTGGCTCTTGTTTGACCGGTTTTTTCCACACTTTGTGGATTGCCTGATTGCCTGATTGCCAGGCTAATTGCCTCATGAGGAAGCGCCATCATCACCTCAGCGGGAGGCTCCATTATTCACTTATCTCAGGCTCCTATAGCCTTCTGTGTATTGTTTTATGTCCCCCTCAGGCCCTTTTAGTAAATGTAAGGTGTGCTCCAGGAAGATACTCTTTTATGATAAGCATAGCCTTTGTTTATTTTGCCTTGGAGATGCACATAATAAGTCTACTTGCCGCCATTGTAAAGAATTTATTAAGGCTGCTTTGAAAGCGCAGAGACTTAAGCGCTATCTTTGGGAAAAGACTCTGTTTGCAACCTATCCCTCAGAGATGGAGACTTCCTCCAATCCTTCAGGGACCCCTTGTTCTGAGACAACTGTGTCTCTCCCCTCTACATCTACTTCCAAGTCATCTAAGCCTTCTAAGGCCACCTCAGATACCTTCAAGAAGCCCCCTTCTACATCTAAGGGGCCTGTTCCCAAGGACATTGCAAAGGCTAAAAAACAGGCGGGACAGCCTAAAAAGTCCAAGGCTAAAGAGATCATCTCTCTTCCACCTTTTACACCCTCACTGCCTTCACCAATTTTGGAGGATTCGTCAAGGGACCATGAATCCCTATCTGAAGCTGCTCCATCTTTGCCACTCTCCCAGCAACCTGAGGCACTGCTTGAGCCTGGGCATTCACCCAGTCTGGATAAAGTTGAGGTAGCTGTGTTATCCAGCCCCTATTCTGCCCATCTTGGCCCTGCATCTGCTGGCCGGGTGACTGAAACTCCACATTCCCCCTCTTGCTCTCCGAGGAGAGAGCTCACTCCTCGCAAAAAGGGGTCGAAAAGGCGGCATTCTTCCTCCGATCAAAGTCGTGACTCTGACGTGGAGACTTCCCGACGTCAGAAGATACACAGGCATGACCGATCTGGACACAGTCGTTCAGGACGAAGGAGGACAAAACATCGACGTCGACATTATGATACCGATTCAACGTCATCTTCCTCCTCTTCTAGTTACCGCAGGCACAGAAGGAGGCGCTATTCTCCCTCTTCGACCTCAAGATCTTCGCCTTCTTCACGTCGACGTCGACAGGCTCATGCTACTCTACCCTTTATGGATATGAAGGCTTCTAAGAAGAATTCTTCTACCTCAGTGTCGAGGGCTAAGACTGCCCAGCAAACTACTCAGTTCTCCCTAGCTGAGACTGCTATACATAGAGTCCCATCTGAGGAAGATGACCAGCTTTGCGAGGTGTCTTCCAATCAAGATGAAGAGGTTTTCTCTCCATTGCAAGCCCAGTCGCCAGTAGAGGCGGACTCCTTTGAATCAGATATGGGTAATCTGCATCCATCCTCTCCCTCTGAGGATTTTTCTCCGTATTCACAAATGGTGACTAGAATGGCTAGTGTTTTAAAAATGCAAACACAGCTTCCACCTCCTACAGATGATCCCATTTTTGGGGACATCGATTGAGAGTCTTCTCAACCACTTAGCCTCAACTATATTTCCCAGCTGTTTACCCTGATTATGGATGCTTGTTCTCAACCAGCCACTCCTCTTTCTGTCTCTAGGAGGACTGAGAATATGTATAGGATTCATGGAGATGAAGTTAATTTCTTGTCTAAACACCCTGCTCCCAACTCTGTCATTGTCCATGCTAATGCATCTAAGGCCTCGGGGAGACCACATGTGACTCCCACCAATAAAGAAGGCCGGAAGATGGATGTTTTGGGTAGGAAAATCTACAA